AACCTCCTTCCCCACCTCCTCCTCCCTGAAGGTATCACTGTCTCCCCACCTCCTCCTCCCTGAAGGTATCACTGTCTTTCCCTCCTCTCCTCCTCCACCCCCCCAGCTCCCCCCCCTCTGCGCCTCTCCCTGGGTCCCACTGAACAACAAGCTTTCACCTTCTCCCACGCCATCATCTCCAGTCCCCAAACGCCCTGGTTCTCTCTCTCCTCCTTCTCCTCCCTCTCCTGCCTCTCCTCCTCCTTCTCCTCCTCCTTCTCCTCCTTCTCCTGCCTCTCCTCCTCCTTCTCCTCCCTCTCCTGCCTCTCCTCCTCCTTCTCCTCCTCCTTCTCCTCCTTCTCCTGCCTCTCCTCCTCCTTCTCCTCCCTCTCCTGCCTCTCCTCCTCCCTCTCTCTCCTCCTCCTCCTTCTCCTCCTTCTCCTGCCTCTCCTCCTCCTTCTCCTCCCTCTCCTTCTCCTCCCTCTCCTCCTCCTCCCTCTCCTCCTCCCTCTCCTCCTCCTTCTCCTCCTTCTCCTCCTTCTCCTCCTCCTCACTCTTCTAACCAGGTCTGTGTCTCGGCATCACCAGCTCCTCTCTGCTCTTCATCTTCATCCTTTTCTCTTGTTGCAGTGACTTTATTGACGTTTTCATTTGCAGTGAAAGTTGTGAGTGAAAAGCAGGAGATTTAATTCATATTTAACAAAGAAACAAATCATTGAATATAACTGTATTATTATTATTATTATTTGTACGTTTTATTTTTTGGATGATTATGTCAAATATCGTGTCATGTTTGCTTAAAGCTGTTGACGAGGACACTAAAGTTTACAGTAAACACAAGAGTTATTATTTTAATATTTACATGTTTGATATAAAGGATCCACAGGAGCAGCGCGATGCGGGAAAAAAACATACAACATAAAACTGTGGAAAAAGCCTTAAATAGTCACGAAAAGGTTGTGTTTCAGTGTTCACTGAAACACGCTGCGTCGCTAACATGGTTCATGTTTGTATTGTTTTAAATCCCACCGTTAGTTCTGTGCAGTAACGATGCAGAGCTGATTAGCATTAGCATTAGCATTAGCAATAGCATCGACAAATACAAATGTGAAATGACTAATATTGACGCCCTGTGGACATCGCAGTCCCAAAGCTCTGAGGTACTTATCCTTCTTCCTCTGACAGAGCTGTGTTTGCAGAACTGTTCTGTGGCATCTGTTTACATCTAACACACGTCTGTGACTGCACAAGATATGTTTAATCTATGTTTAAATGTATGTTTTATTGTATGTTTTTAATCTATGTTTAAATGTATGTTTAAATGTATGTGTTTCGCTGAACAGTCTATTGTTCTTTCAGGGGCATTGATCCAGATCTGCTGTTGTCGGGGAAAGAAGGAATGAACACTTCTTGTTTGGTAAGAAATTAAATTCATTTATAATCTAATTATGACAATGTCTTAAAGATCAAATTAACATTCTCAGTGTTTCATATCGGGATGAAATGGAAATCATTGTGTTGTTATTCCCATTGTCAGTCACACATGAGCGCACCGGCTGATGAGCAGAGGACTGTGTTATAGACATAGTAAGATGTAGTAAATACTGTATATATAGTAAATACTGTATATATAGTAAATACTGCCTCTGGGCACAGTACATCAGCTCTCCTCCTGAACACATTCATCTTCTGTGCCTTTAGTTCTGCTGCTGAGATGGGAAAGGTGTTAATTAACAGCCACACTCTAAGTTTGCATCTTTGAGCCAAATACTGTTCAGCCGACCCCAAAGCAGAGCATTTCAGATGTATACACTGCACATGTACCACCCCCCTCCCCTGGATCTAGCAGGGCCCGTGGGAAGAACCGACTGTGGGAGCAGACAGTCTGCAGTCCTGAATAAATGTATAAGAGGGAGAAGGGGAAGGGAGGGCACATTAGCAGGCAGCGCAGGGCTGGGGAGGGAGAGAGAACATATTGAGTGTTGGAGGACATACATGCACAGTGTACAGAGAGAGATGCACAGATAGGAGAACGCTTATAGCTCTGGGAAGAAATCCTCTGCCTCACACTCCTCCACTCGCCTCCCTCCTCCTCACACATCCACTCACATCCACTCACAGCTCACAGTAGCTTTAGGGTACACCAGCCGGCTCTGGCAGTCCTCTCCTTTGTTGTTTTTGCTTTTGGTTGGTCTCAGCGGCAGCGCGGCGTGCGCCTCTAATGCTGGGGTGTGTGCATGTATTAGTGCATGAGTGGATCTGAAGCCGCGGTGGAGGATGGCACTAGCACTACCTTGGTAAGTCTTTCTCTCTGTCTCTGTGTTGTGCTCTGCAGCTCTCCGTCCTGAGCTCTGGTTGTGTGTGGCTCTGTGTTCTCGGCTCGTATCCCGCTGCAGCGCTCACCATCCCCGCTCCAGCCGTGCGTCTCCTCCGCTCTCTCGCCGCTCTCTCGCCGCTCTCTCGCCGCTCTCTCGCCGCTCTCTCGCCGCACTCTCGCCGCTCTCTCTCTCCTCAGGCTGTGCCTCATTGGTGTGTCCTGATTCCCTTTTCCATTAGGCTCCAGGCCCATTGGTCGCCTGCCTCCAAACCATTATCCCCTCTCCTCCACCCTCTGTCATCTCTGCTTCCGTCGCTCTGCGTTCTTCCCCATTCTCGGTCTCTCAAGTCGTAAAAATGATTTGCATGCAAGAGCCGAGCCGAACTTTGCCGAGAGAACAGTAACTGAACAGAAGAGTCTGAGAAGAATCTGGTTAAAAAGGAGAGGATAAATAAGGAGCACGAGGGAAAGTTTTAGAGACGGCTGCAGTCGGTATGTAACGTGTGATGCTAGCTTTGATTATGTGAAGCACTTTGTCACTACACCACATTCTCTCACTGCGCTTGTTGTTTCAAGTGACTGAGTTCAAAGTCTTGTTCAATGTGACTTTTGAGTCCAGTATTATTCTGCAACTGTCTCTGAATTTTGGGAATATTTTTGAATTATTGGAAGAATATTGTGGTGAAAAATCCGCCTTCTCAGTCTTTAACCCTCCTCTGTATAACACCTCAGAGCGGGATCTATACATGTCATGCCGAGAGTGGAATGCAGGTGTTTTTATTGAATCTTTGCCTCATTGCTCTGTATGTACTCAGTTGCATGCTCACATGTTTGCTGCAGATTGGAAACAGTTCAAAGTTGGTTCAACAAAGTGTTTTGAAAAGTGTATTTAATGCCAGCGTGTTTGCTAACCTCAACATGTGATTGGGAACTCTTGGTTTTGCCCATTTACTTTGGCAAAATGTTGCATAGCTGATGTTTAAAGAATCTGCATATTTCGTAAACAATCATTTGTGGCGTGAGAGAGTCGCCGTGTCGTGAGAGAAACCCTGTTCTCTGAGATTCTGCTGCAGACGGAAATGTGTGGTTAAAGGGGAGGTGTGTTCAGAGCCGCTGTGCCTGATGTAGTTTGCCGAGCGAGCCGGGCGCACAGGCAGACGGCTGAATGTGATTAAATTATAGTGGGAAAGCACACGACCGGGTCTTACTGGGACCAACATCACGGGAACCCCCTCCTCCCTCCATCATCTCTCCTCATTCTCTCTCTCTCTCCTTCTCACTGTCGGCGCTGAAGCAGGAGACCCGAGCCCTGATAATCACAACAGTCTAGTCGGAGCTGGAGGGGCAGAGGAAATTGGTTGTTGATAGCGATGATGAATATAGACTGTAAGGTCATGGCAGAAGCACTTTGCATCTGAGGCTGTCTCTGGAGGATGTTGTGCCGGAGCGACCGAGACCGAGGTGGTTCTGGATTCATGTTTAGTCTGATTTACTGAGCCGGGTTTGGGTCACTGCTGAATAACAACAATGTGTGACATCACTTTAGCCGTAGAAACATGTTTTTGTTTCAGTGCTGCTTGTATCGCTCTGTCTGATGGATCTTTACATGTTTGAAAAGATCATTTATGTACATTTGTTTTTATGATTTTATTCTGCTTTAACTTGTTTGCACCGAGAGCTATTCTTTACTCTCGTTACTCACACGGCAATAACAAGGATTCTGATTTCATGAGTTAAGAGTGATTTTATTTTTTATATTTTTTATTTTTTGTGTGATCTCAGTGTGTGTTTTGCCCTTTGCGATTTTAATTGTATTTCTAATGTTTTTGTAGATTTTAATGTCATGTGGTGTGTGTGTGTGTGTGTGTGTGTGTGTGTGTGTGGGAAAGGCGCTCTACAAATAAACGTTGATTAAGATAGACTTAATCTCACACTGGAGAAATCCTTGTGATTGACTCAGTTTGTGCATGTGTTGAAGGTCGAGTCCGTCAGAGTCGAGTCTGTGTGGTCCTGGAGAGACCTGAGCTCGGTCTGAGGTAGAGACCATCTCCTCCAGACTCACCGGGGAGATACTGTGTGTCCCTTATTCTTAGCCGCCTAATGAATGAGCAGAGGAAAGCCTCGTGGGGATCCTCTACATGCAGCTCACAGGGAGGGAGGGAGGGGGGGGGGGGGGGGGGGGGGGGGGGGTGATCAGGCGCTAATATTAGCCTCAGAATCTTCCCCTCGCCGTGCTCTTTGTGCCGGGGCCAGTGTGACTCTGCAGTTTATCCACAGATCCTGGTCCCGACACCTGCCCACATGCAGCTGCCACATTTCAATCATTTTAATGTTTGCTGCAATTCTTTTATCTTAATATTTTCCCACGATAATGTTCAGAAGGTCCTTTATTGTCCCACAGTGGGGAAATTTCAGTGTTGCAGCGCACAGACAGGACAGTAGTAAGATCGGTCTTTCAAAATAATATAAATACATTTGTAGCATGGATTTATATACTGTACATATAGGACAGGAGTTATATACTGTACATATAGGACAGAGTTATATACTGTACATATAGACAGGAGTTATATACTGTACATATAGAGCAGGAGTTATATACTGTACATATAGGACAGGAGTTATATACTGTACATATAGGACAGGAGTTATATACTGTACATATAGGACAGGAGTTATATACTGTACATATAGACAGGAGTTATATACTGTACATATAGACAGGAGTTATATACTGTACATATAGAGCAGGAGTTATATACTGTACATATAGGACAGAGCTATATACTGTACATATAGGACAGAGTATATACTGTACATATAGACAGAGTTATATACTGTACATATAGGACAGAGTTATATACTGTACATATAGGACAGGAGTTATATACTGTACATAAAGGACAGAGTTATATACTGTACATATAGGACAGAGTTTATACTGTACATATAGGACAGGAGTTATATACTGTACATATAGACAGGAATTTATATACTGTACATATAGGACAGGAGTTATATACTGTACATATAGACAGGAGTTATAAACTGTACATATAGGACAGAGTTATATACTGTACATATAGGACAGGAGTTATATACTGTACATATAGGACAGAGTTATATACTGTATATATAGACAGGAGTTATATACTGTACATATAGACAGGAGTTATATACTGTACATTATAGAGCAGGAGTTATATACTGTACATATAGACAGGAGTTATATACTGTACATATAGGACAGGAGTTATATACTGTACATATAGAGCAGGAGTTATATACTGTACATATAGGACAGGAGTTATATACTGTACATATAGAGCAGGAGTTATATACTGTACATATAGGACAGAGCTATATACTGTACATATAGGACAGAGTTATATACTGTACATATAGGACAGGAGTTATATACTGTACATAAAGGACAGAGTTATATACTGTACATATAGGACAGAGTTATATACTGTACATATAGACAGGAATTATATACTGTACATATAGGACAGAGTTATATACTGTACATATAGGACAGGAGTTATATACTGTACATATAGACAGGAATTATATACTGTACATATAGGACAGGAGTTTATATACTGTACATATAGACAGGAATTATAAACTGTACATATAGACAGAGTTATATACTGTACATATAGGACAGGAGTTATATACTGTACATATAGACAGGAATTATATACTGTACATATAGGACAGGAGTTATATACTGTACATATAGGACAGAGTTATATACTGTACATATAGACAGGAATTATATACTGTACATATAGGACAGAGTTATATACTGTACATATAGGACAGGAGTTATATACTGTACATATAGGACAGAGTTATATACTGTACATATAGGACAGAGTTATATACTGTACATTATAGACAGGAATTATATACTGTACATATAGGACAGAGTTATATACTGTAACATATAGGACAGAGTTTATATACTGTACATATAGGACAGGAGTTATATACTGTACATATAGGACAGAGTTATATACTGTACATATAGGACAGAGTTATATACTGTACATATAGGACAGGAGTTATATACTGTACATATAGGACAGAGTTATATACTGTACATATAGGACAGGAGTTATATACTGTACATATAGACAGGAATTATATACTGTACATATAGGACAGGAGTTATATACTGTACATATAGGACAGAGTTATATACTGTACATATAGACAGGAGTTATATACTGTACATATAGGACAGGAGTTATATACTGTACATATAGGACAGGAGTTATATACTGTACATATAGGACAGGAGTTATATACTGTACATATAGACAGGAGTTATATACTGTACATATAGGACAGGAGTTATATACTGTACATAAAGACAGGAGTTATATACTGTACATATAGGACAGGAGTTATATACTGTACATATAGACAGGAGTTATATACTGTACATATAGGACAGGAGTTATATACTGTACATATAGGACAGGAGTTATATACTGTACATATAGGACAGGAGTTATATACTGTACATATAGACAGGAATTATATACTGTACATATAGGACAGGAGTTATATACTGTACATATAGGACAGAGTTATATACTGTATATATAGACAGGAGTTATATACTGTACATATAGGACAGGAGTTATATACTGTACATATAGGACAGGAATTATATACTGTACATATAGGACAGGAGTTATATACTGTACATATAGGACAGAGTTATATACTGTATATATAGACAGGAGTTATATACTGTACATATAGGACAGGAGTTATATACTGTACATATAGGACAGGAGTTATATACTGTACATATAGGACAGGAGTTATATACTGTACATATAGGACAGAGTTATATACTGTACATATAGACAGGAGTTATATACTGTACATATAGACAGGAGTAGGGCTGGGCGATATGGCTGAAAACTATATCACGATATAAGTCATTCATATCGGTCGATAACAATATATAATGAGTTTTTTTTTTTTTTTAACCTAAATAAATACATTTGTGGTGTGGGCTAACCAACCTTAGCAGCCTTGTTTACAGTCACGGGGCGATGAGGCTGGAGAAATATGTTCACACTGTGTCCCTCGTTGTTAGTCCTGGTTTAATCCTGGTTTTTTATTCCTGGTTTAGTTCCTGGTTTAGCTGTTTGAGGGTCTTGTGTCCCCGTGACCGCTCCGTGCGGCTCTCTGTGCCGCACATGCTTCCCGAGGAAAAAGTTAAT